AAGGCAGACGCTTAACGACTGAGCCACCCAGGTGCCCAGCCTGTGTCTTTCTAACACTTCCCTCAGAGCTGGGTGAAGGGAGGAAGGCTGGTGCCAAGGGGTTCAGCCTGAATCTCAGCTGGGGAGGCTGAGAGGCACGAATCTGTCTGAGCATGCTGCCTCTCTGGACGGAGCTCTAGAAGGTGGGGAGTGGGTGTAGAGGGGATCTCCGTGTCTGTCACCTTGCCTCTTGAGCTTATTGTAAACATCAAATGAGATAATGTAGGAAACACTGAGCCTAGGGCCTGGGACCGCAGTTAGTTTTCTATTGTTGCTATAACAAACTACCACAAGTTGAGTATTGTGAAACAATACAGATTTATTGTCTTATACTTCTGGAGGTCAGAAGTCCAAAATGGGTCTCATGGGGCTAAAAGCAAAGTGTCAGCATGGCTGCATTCTTTCCTGGAGGCTCTAAAGAAGAATGCCTTTCCTCGCCTTTGCCAGCTTCTAGAAGCCACCCACATATTCCTTGGCTCATGGCCCCTTCCTCAGTCTGCAAAGCCAGCAGTGTGGGGCTGAGTCTTTCTCATGCTGCTGTCTCTCGAATTCTCTCTTGTCCTGCCTCCCTTCCACTTTTAAGGACCTTTGTGGTTACACTGAGCACACCTGGATAATCCAGGATAAACTCCACCTCAGGGTTAGCAAACTTAATTCCTTTTTGCCGCGTCACTCACAAAGTCACAGGTTCTGGGGGTTAGGACATGGACATTTTGCGGGCGATGAGGGGGTGTTATTATGCCTACTATGGGGACATACTAAAAAGTCAATCAATGGTCCTTATTACCAGAGCTCCCTCAAATGTGGGGTCAAAGCCTTGGCTCTGGCAGATTCTGGGGTTCTGCACGCTAGAGGGCTAGAAAGCCTGCCTTGCCTAGCTCAGGGGAGCAGGGATGTGGCCAGACTCCACCTGGAGGGTTGTGCCCAGTCTAGGAGGCACATCGTAAAGGGATGTAAGTGGTTTGGGGTGCTACAGCCAGGATGGTGAGGAGCTTGAGGAGGAGAAAACCCTGAGCAGAGAGAAGAGCCGCCTTCATGTGCCTGGATGGAGAGGGAGACAGGCTTCGTGTATTGTTAAGTGTCGTGTTACGAGAAGAGCATGAGCCTTTCTCTTGGGTAGAGCCGGCTTCCAGTCCCAGCTCAGGCCCTCACCAGCCATTGGGCAAATGACTTCATCTCTGACCTCTGGTTTTTTCATCCAGTAAGAAGGAATAATAATAGCATCTGCCTTGTACGAGTGTTGGGGGGCAGTGAATGAGATAGTGGGCAGGAAGCAGCTAATACATTGCCCGATGGTCACTGTCGCCGGTGTCCTTAGACACCTCTGTGGGACAGAAAAGTAACCAGTGGGTAGAAGCTCCAGGGAAACAGATCTAGGTTTTTCATGAAGGAAGAGCTTTGTGATCACCAAAGCTAGGCAGTGACAAGATGGTGGGGCATGTGATGTACTGGTCCCCTTCCCTGCAACTGTTTGGTGATTGACCAGATATTCACACGTGTGTGGATGGCAACAAAGTCACCTGGGTGCTTTTTCAAAAGCCCAGAGCTCTAGGCCCCCACCCAGCTGTGCTCACTTGGGATATTCAGTGATGGAGCTTGGAGATCTGTTTTTGTTTTTTGTTTTTTGTTTTTTTTCCAGTAGCTTTTATTTTCTGAAAGCAGCTTTAGATTCACAGCAAAATGGAGCAGCAAGTACAGAGATTTCCTCCCCGCCACCCCAAGCTGTGCCCTCAAACACATACAGGATCTCCCAACTATCAACAACCCCCACCAGAGAGCAACATTTGTTACAACTGGGGAACCACCGGAGGTCCATGGTTGATGTTAGGGTTCACTCTTGGTGCTGAACATTCTATGGGTGGACAAATGTTTAACATGTGTCCATTATTATAGTATCATACAAAGTATCGCTGCTCTAAAAATCCTGTGTACTTCACCTATTCACCCCTCCCACCCCCAATCCCCAGCAACCACTGGTCTTCTTTTTTATTTTTTTTTTAAATTTTTATTTATTTATTTGACAGAGAGAAAGAGATAGCGAGAGCAGGAACACAAGCAGGGGGAGTGGGAGAGGGAGAGCAGGCTTCCTGCCGAGGAGGGAACCCGATGTGGGACTTGATCCCAGGACCCTGGGATCATGACCTGAGCCGAAGGCAGACGCTTAACGACTGAGCCACCCAGGCGCCCTGCAACCACTGGTCTTCTTACTAACTCTATAGTTTTGCCTTTTTCAGAATGTCCTATGTAGAGTATGTAGCCTTTTTGGATTAGCATCTTTCACTTAGCAATGTGCATCCATGTTTCTTCCATTGTCTATACATGGCTTGGTAGCTCCTTTTTTTTTTTTTTTAGCTCTAATATTCCATTGTCTGGATGTACCACAGTTTATTGATCCATTTATCTGCTGAAAGACATCTCGGTTGCTTCCAAGTTTTGGCAGTTTCACAATTTCCCATAATTACAAAGCTGGTATCAACAACCATGTGTGGACACACATTTTGGAGGTCTGTGGTTTTCACAAGTGATTCAGAGACAGATTTAGGGCCTCTTGACCTGATAATCATTTGTCCTGAGGTAGATGGAGGTCTGGAGCCTCTCCAGTCCTGAAATTCTGTGAGGATTCTATGAGGACGGTGTGGAAGCTCTGGTATGGACTAGACCTTTTCCTTCCTCCCTCTGGACTTTGCTCCCCCTAAGCAAAATCCCTCTTTTGCCTCCATGTTCAGTGTCCACGTTTACTGCTAGCACAAAATTACCGAATATAAAGAGCAGCTTTTCCAGGACTGGAGAGAGCTGGCCTGGTTTTCCAAGTTCAGGACTGCCTGTGTTCAAATCCAGACTCTACAACCCTCGAACTGTGACATTGGGCCAATAATGTAACCATCCGATGCCACCGTTTCCCCTCCAGTAAAGGTTGCCGATAATAGTATTTACCTCATGAAGTTATTGTGAGAATTGAGTTCCTATGTATAAAAAGCTTAGAAAAGTAAGCTTTGCTTATGTTCCTTGCTATCATTAGAGCCATCAGAATTTGTATCCTTCTTATTACCAGTTACCAGAGAGTGGAGTCCTTCCTGGAGAGGAGCCAGGGTTATTCCACATCAGTACGTGCTGCTTGAGTCCCCGGGAACAGGATGACACCTGTGCATGCTGGTTGTCCAAGGGGAGAAGTCAGTTAAATGGGTGCCCCTTTCCCACATGGTACCTCTGAGGCCAGGAGCCAGAAGCAATCTTCGTCTAAGCTACGCAACAAGGTGATGGCTTCCGGAGCTTCTTCACCCTTTTCCTGACCTGGCAGCATGTTCCTCTCTCTGCATTCCTTGTCTGGGTGCTCGGTAGTGTATCTCCAAAGTTCATAGCGCCTTGAGGGACTTGGGAGTTTGAACGTATCTGTCACTCTGCAGATACCCCAAGAAAGGATGGACCCAGAGAGTCCTGGACTCAAAGGCAGATGGCAACACAGATTTAATCCTGGCTGCACAACCACTGGATCAAACCCCAGCTCCTCCATTTCTAAGCTTTATGAGCTGGGGCAAGTTTCAGCATCTCTGTTTCTGAGATGGGATCATTCTTCCCGTCTCAGGGATGCCATGAAGACAAAATAAGGTAATGGATAAGACATTATTTTGCCAAGTCTGCACAGGTGAACTTATCATGAAATTATTAATAACAGACTTCTTAATTCAACCGAGGAACTGTTGGTGATTGTTTGTAAGTTAAAAGATGAGCACAAGGAGAAGAGTTTCCATATGGAAGGGAAGGTGATATGTTGAGGGATCTTGGCAGCCACAGGCATGGAAAAGCAGAAGAGAAAGACCACAAGCATCTTTTTTGGCCAGGGAGAGCCCTCTCTTATAACCCGGGCCACCCCAAACCCCACCGTTTCTGTCTCATCTGAAGGAGACGTTCACATGTCCCCCATGTATAAGGTGTTCTTGGGGCAAAGTTAGCACCCTTTCTTTTGCTGGCAAAGCCATCGCTATGGGAATCAGCCACTTGGGGGCCAACAACATAATTTAGTTTGCCTGTTTATTTTAAACTTTTGATTCAAGTCTAAAACACAGACAGAAAAGCACACAAATCTTAAGTGACCAGCTTGATTAAGTTTCTCAAATTGAACACACATGTGAAACTAGCATCCAGATTAAAAAAAAAAAACAAAAAAAGAAAAAGGAAATTGTTAGTATTCCAGAAACCCTGTTGAGGCCACAGAGTTTTTGTTTTTGTTTTTGTTTTTTAAATTAACATATAATGTATTATTTTTTTTCAGGGGTACAGGTCTGTGATTCATCAGTCTTACACAGTTCACAGTGCTCACCACAGCACATACCCTCCCCAATGTCCATCACCCAGCCACCCCATCCCTCCCACACCCCTCCACTCCAGCAACCCTCAGCTTATTTCCTGAGATTGAGTCTCTTATGGTTTGTCTCCCTCTCTGGTTTCGTCTTGTTTCATTCTTCACTCCCTTCTCCTATGATCCTCTGTCTTGTTTCTCAAATTCCACGTATCAGTGAGATCATATGATAATTGTCTTTCTCTGATTGGCTTATTTCGCTTAGCATAATAC